AGATATGATTGATTGATTCAGACCATATGACCACCCCAACCAATGGCCTTTTGATTTGAAGGTGACCTTCCATGTTGCGTAAGTCTATAAATAGACTGCCCACAGGTGTCTCGAGGCAGTTCATTGACTAGACGTCGATGAGACACATAAGCCCTGTGTGTTGCCGTGTAGTACTTAGTTGTTTAAATAGCATATTCTTATATTACTTGTGGTTAAGTAATTCTTTATGCTTATAGCAGTGATGTGTATACTGTGGTGATTTTTCTGAAGTGTTAAAAGCTGTGATAGTGTATCATATTATTTTTTCCCAAGAATTGTAAGTTGGGTTTTGTTCATTCTGTAAATCTATTTTATTCCTGTATAAATCTAGTGTTCTGCCACGACTTTGTACACTCATTACAAGTTATATGCAGATTAAATGTATTGTTGGCATCAGTAGTTTCTCTAGTGTTTCCCCTAGACATCAATTACGAGTCCTAGCGTACTAGTGTGTTAACTTTCTTTTATTTAGGCTTGTCGCCATCTGTGTGTAATCTGTTAAACGAATCCGGGAGCGTTCGCCAACTATCTGGCTGATAGATTGGTGTCCGTTACACCCTATTTTCCAGAAGAGAACAATTATCGATAATAGTTGGGTTATGAATAATATCAATATTTTTAATTCAAAATGGTTTATGGTTGCTCTGTTAAATTAGAAATGAAAAATATAAGTAATGAGAACACACTTATGTCCCATACTAGTGTATAGGCAACTAAGAATTGAGCTTTTTGAAGCAGTTATATGATGTTATATAACATACATGAACGTGTCAGACCATATGTTCGTTCTGTTCTCATTCTTCTCTCTTGCACATTGCGCACACCTCATGTGTTTTTCTTTTTTTGCGTTATCATTTTGTATTTAGATTGTGGGGTTAGAGAGAAAATCTTGTCGCATTGAACAGGTCTAGAGGTGATCCTTCCTTTATGTAATCCATAAATGAGAGCTTCTGCTATCATTTGTCTCTTTTTACGCTGGGTTATTTTATTGAACAAATGGTAGCGTTCATGTCTATCAATTACGTATGAATGCTATTTAGATTTCAGATATATTTATCTTGGCATCGCATTACCAGGTTATGACACCTGGAGATCAGGTTCAGTGTACCAGTAGTCTCTATGTTGGTAGTGTATGATAACCATCGCTAATTTTATTCATAAAAATTCATGTTTATTATAAATCAGTTTAGATGGGTATTATCTTATGTTTTATTTACAGTTCATATGGTCGACAATCTGAGATACCAAGTTCTCAAGATATTTGTTTTAATATTCTTATAAAGCATTGAGAAAACAATTACAATCAACATATATCGTAATATTCCCTAAAATTGTAGACAAATAATGTTTTCCGATGTCTCCACTCGAAAACAATAACTTGCTCTAGTCCCCTTTTTCAAAACTCACGAGGACGTTTGGTTGTACGTGGTTTGGGCAAATCCAGGTGTACTGATGCTATAAATACGTGTCAGCTTAATCTGTATGACAGTTTTAAAATCGTCTATAATGGCTCACTACAAGGGTGATAGCTAGTGTGCATCGTGTATTTTATGCGCGCTGTGTTTTAGAAGTCTTATACAAGTTTATGTGTATTTTACAAAATTACTACACGGTCGCGGGACGGCGCAGCCGAAAGGGAACATTGATTTATGCGATATATGCAAAGAAAATTCACCAGAAAAAAAGATGTAGGCCTTGTGTAGTAGTGACAATCGTTACATTATAAGTTCCACATAGTTTTAGTGGACATTTTTATCTATAAAACCAATCACTTAAAACACATTGTTATCATTGTCATTATTGTATATAAACAGTATTTGCTCCATTTTGTTTTTTTAATGATAGAAAATAAGGCTCTGCGACTACTTCTATTAAAAACACTTTCATTAGCGATACCTATTAAAAAATTAGTTCCTTTCAGGACCATATGGACTATATATACATAATATCCAAAGCAACACATTTACCTTTATCGAAAACACATGTCAATATAATACCTAAATCGTAAACCGTTGAAAAAAAACATCAGTAATTTCACAATTTTGCACTTATAATTTTTTTTATATAAAAATTTAAACTTTCGCTCTGCGAGTGATCTAACGCTGGAAGGTTCCCATAAATATATAATTCTGAAACCAGAATTTTATAAAGTCTATTTTGTAATACATGTTTTGAGGCTAATTCGACAGATATAAATTATTTAAATTTCGTTTGATATCGGTTTTAAGTTTTTGGACAAATATGTTATACAAAGGAATGAAAAGAAACAAATATTTTTTAGATCATGTAATAAAATTATAATACTTAATTAAAAAACACATTATATTTTTTGTATAAAACACGAAATCAAAATGAAATTCTACTAATATCGCTGACATGAAAATCGGTGTTTTGGCTTAATGGTTTAAAGACGTCCAGTAGTATGCCATAAGTCTTTTGATAATAACTAATCCCTTAATTAATTAATTTTAAATATATCAGTTTTTTTATACAGCATCAGTCCAATGTGTCCCTATTTTCCGGTAGGGAACATCTATCGAAAGTCGGCGGCATTATGAATTATATCAATATATTTATTTCAAAATATTTAATAGTTGCTCTGATACATTAGAAATGGAAAAAATAAGAAATGTTAACACACGTATATCATTTAAGAGTGTACAGACATCTAAGAATGGAGCTTCTGGAAGCAGGTATATGATGTTAAGTAACATACATTAACATGTCAGAGATCTCTTGTCAGTTCTGTTCTCATTCTCTTCTCATAGCCTTTGGTTTTTATTTGAAATTTTGGGACTAATTTGTTACTTGGTCCTCAAAGGGTTTAAGCAAAGTTTATACAAGCAATATTTCGTACGGCGCATTAAGGGAATGGAAGGCGGTACACATCCGAGCGCCGACACTGGAGGTGGGGGAAAGTGTGCCAAAAGCGCGGCGTCTTTGACAACACTAATCGAAGTGATTTGATAGTATTTGTTTCTTAATTGTTAAAGTCGGTTAAAACTCATGACTGTTAAACCGAAAAGTACAGAGTTCAAACCCCGGGCAGATGTGGCTCGATAAATGGCGTACAGCCACTTATGTAGAAGAGACAACTCAAAACTCAAACATCTGCTGCCTTTTAGTTTGTTCTTAGTTGGACAAAGGCTATGGAAGCAAATAAAAAAATAAATAAAAGGAGGCTGAAATCAAAGTCAATGGCCTATACGAAGCATAACAAATTGACACGTACTTAATTGTGTTGGAGAGAATCCCACCTAATACTAAAATCTACAACGAAAAAGAAAACGCTTCTGGATAAATCTTATAACCATTGAAAAGAAACAAATTTTTACACATGTAAATATATTAACATATAAAATTACATTTCGTCAACTATTTAAATGTTATGAAAAACAATAGCTTGTAATATAAACCGGGAGTGCTCTCCCATAAAAATTTCTCGAATATTATTATATAACTTGGAATATAGACATGATTTTTAATTACTAAAACTTTTAAAAATAGAATAGAATCTCATAGAAAAAAGAATTGCGCACCAAGCGAACGCCAAAACAAAATGTGCATAATAGTGCGCAATATTATTAGTATCTTATAAATTTACATGCGTTTTTTGAGAAATCGGAAATAGCGTAAATTAGTACTTTCGGTCAACGGAAATTACTCACAATTTGACAGAAGGTAGAGAATTAGATCTTTTACTTACATGTGAAATTTCATTTGTCTATCTGAAATAGTACTCAAGTTAAAGGCTTTTGAAAAATTCAAAGTAGAAAAAGTACCACTTCCGGTTGTCGGAAATCGCACAAAAAGTGATAGGGGTCTACGATTTCAATAAAATACTTTAAAATGAAATTCCATCAACCTAGCTGTAACATTACTCAAGTTATCGTGTTTACACACACAGACAGACACAGACATACGGACAAGATTGCAAAATTATGTTTTCCGTATCAGTGAGGTGTAAAACGATTCCACGATTACAAGACTTTCTCTATACTTCGTATATACGAGAAAGTAAAAAGGTAAGTATTGATACAAGGTAGATACCGTCTTTTACTATATTACAATATCCATAGTCTGCATATATTGTATTATAAAGAACTAAATACCCCCTGCGATGGTTATTTGAGGGGCTATTGTTAAAATCAGCATTTAGATTTCAATTTACTAAATAATTTTAGACTAATTTTTACGCTCAGGTCACGACAACCAAACCTTTTTAATTTCTCGTTAGGGCGATCTCACTTATAACGTATTTTGTCTTAAATTACACAATGAATTCAACACCAGAGTTTGTCTATTGGTATTATCAACTGTCTTTCTGATGGTATCTCTAACTGAGTCTGTCTATTGGTATTATCAACTGTCTTTCTGATGGCATCTCTAACTGAACCTGTTTTCCCAGCTTTAGTTTTCTTTTCCGATGTTATTTTTTTATATCCTCATGAGTGAAGTCTAATCATGTCAACTATTGTTTAAATTGTTATTTGTGTGCCATGATTATTAGTTGCTTTTTGTGTGATAATTCAGCATTGGCTTTTTTACGTTAACATAATTTCTTCCTTGAATATCTACATTCTTGGTCGGTGACACCATTATTAGTAAATGTAATGAAGTTATAATCTCTGAAATTAACGTATTCAGGTATTTTAAGTTTATATATTGTGCTCCAATCCGCTATTTTCCAGTATCGAGTCAGGGAGATATAATAATATTAAATGTTAAATCAAATATCCTTACTAAACCTAATGTTTTATTACTGTTTTTGATTGTTTGTCTTTAGTTGTCACTTGGATTGTTGGAGTTGTGGTATAGTTTGGCGATCAGAGAAATAAACGTGTAGGGCATTCTAAAGTGCTTCATAGTTTTCCATACTAATGACCTGTCTATAGGCCTGCTGTGACAAGCAATTTTTAAAATCTATAACAAGTGCATGTAGAAATTTAAAAAAAAATTACCGTGTGAATAGAACTCTCCATAAAATCCTCTGTATGTTTCAGAGCTGTCTGTTTTAAACGTTACAAAAAAGTTGTTTGTTGTCGATACAATCAGTCCTGAGACTCCCATACCACAAAAGGTGTTAAAACTTGGAGCATTTTTAGTAGCTCCGTCGTACACGGTGATATAGTCTGTGCCACAAGACTCTGTTTCCACAAACGATAGACTATAAGACAAAAATAAGTGTTAATTAGTACTAAGGTTTTTCTACAATGTCACATACATTTTATAATTTCAGGTTAATGTATGGTCAATGAGATATTGACCTACTTTAAAATGAGACGTGAATCAGCACGTGCTGATAGATTCCATGTAATTTCCTGATTATTCAAATATCCTAAGGGATATCCAGGACTTGCCAACTTGCCTATCTCATATAGTGTAGAGTGTCTGCCTGTTTTATTAGATGGAATTAAATCATTTAATAACAAGACAAAAATAAAATCTGAATACAATGCACATTGAGTATGCTTGTAATGGTTGGTTACCCCAGAAGGTGCAGAGTTTATATTTAGTCTAACAGTAATTTTTTGGATATCCACTATGTTGTATTTGCAAACGTATATATTTTAAGCTATTTTATTCTGACATCAGTTCCTGTTATGTAACGTAAACTATGCACACAGATTGGTTATATCGAAATGAAAAAAAAATGACAAATTATAAAAGTATTTTAAGGAGTAAATAAATAAAACATGAAAAACAAGACTTGATTATATACTTGTCAGCTGTGCGTGCTGTTATATGTTGAAACTAATAAAAAAATGTTTCATATCTAGAAGGTTTAATCGCTACGACCAAATTCTACACCGATCAAAGAACACTGTTTTGTCTTGCTGCGTACATTTTCTTATTAGGGAACATGTAATGTCATGTTTTTCTATGTAAAATTCCTTTACGTGCTAACTTCGCTTGTCAGAAACCATCTTAACGTGTCATCACTCTACAAGTGCTACGTAGCTTAACCTAACTATTAATGTCGTAACTTAACACAACGTATCGTAACATAATGGGTTAATGGATTTATATGTAACATTAATAATTGTTTATAAATATGATTATATATGATTATATAATACCATATATGTTGTAGTTGGCGATAAATTGTAATCTTCCTGTTGTCCTAAACACAATGTGCATGTTATTTTCTGTTGACACTGTGAGTGGCTGCCATGTTGTACACATTTTATCAAACAATCTGGGTGACGTCGATTGTCCGTCAAAAATCTGCAGGTAGTCTGATGAGCAGTCGTTGGATGTACTTGTGTTCATGTATTTTAAACTTAAACGTGGAAAAAAAACATAAAAAAGCTGTTATAGATTTTAAATTATTAAAAAAACGATTGGTTTTATTTAAATACAGTTCAATATTTGTTTAGCACAGCTACATTTAGAAGCCAGATTTCTAATTTTTAGCTAAGTGTGGCGTAATAAACTTTTTAGACAACATAATTTACATCGAGTTTAGAGAGCAAAGACTTAATATAAGCAATCAGAGGCCAAGTTAGGGAAAGGTTAACAAGTCTACCTTTCCGTTCGTCGTCCTATATGCGCAAAACTGGAATTCAAAAGATTATTGTGAGCCGCAATAATCCTTTACACAGTCGAAGTTAAGACACTAGACTGAAACTTGACTTTACAGACTGATTGAACAATTTTCTTCATCACTTGCGTGACACCGACTTAAAACTTTTAAACGATACTGGCTAATAGAAAGAAAAAAGCTCTCGTTTTCAATATTAGAGAGGGGATACCCTTTTTGCCCTTTTCTCAACGTAAATAACTTGAAATCAATCGAAGAAAGTATCTCAAGTTTTTTTAAAAGCTTTGTTTAAAAAATGTTCCAATTTGTTTTCTGTTAACTTCCGGACTATAGAGGAAGTTTTATAATAATATACCTCCCTAAGAAGGAAACAAATTAATTTTTGTAATTTTGTCTGTATGTAAGTGTGTCTCTCTGTGTATTTTTTTTGTGAAAATAAGAGCGAAGAGCTTCAGTAGCTTTTCATTTATGTTGAAAAAAATCGCCTAAAATATATGTAGTTTTTTTTTAACTTGAAAGCGATTTTACGGTCACCGAATTGGGTACATATGCATCCGTTTGATTAAAAGCTATTAACATGAGTGCCGTTTAATTCAGTTGGAAAAAAATTCTCATGTAAGTATAAGTTTGTATATCCGGAATTTTGGAACGATTTCTGGTAACATGAAGTGGTACTTTACTACTTTATTTCCGTGGGAACTCGGTGCCTTGAGTAGTTTCATTTAGACAGACGAAGTTTTATATATAAATAAACCGGGGGTGATCTCCCGTAAACTTTCTTGAATATTCTTATATAACTCCACGGGGGATGGCAGCTCGGGATATAGACATGATTTTTAATCCATTTTTAATCACAAGTGAACGCCAAACAATCTTTGTATAATAGTTCAGAATACTATAAGTACTTTATAAATTCACATTCGTTTTTTTTTAAAATCGGAAGTAGCGTAAATTACTCTTTCCGTTCAACGGATCCTATTCAAAATTTGACAGAAGGCAGATAATTAGACCGTTTACTTACGTGTGAAATTTCGTTTATCTAACTGAAACAGTAATCAAATTATATGCTCTTGAAAAACCAAAAGTAGAATAAGTTCCACTTCCGTTTACCTAAAATCGCTGAAAAGTTGATACAGAACTACGCATTTGATTTAATACTGGTATATGAAATTTCATCAACCTAGATGTACTCAAGTTATCGTGTTCACAGACATACGCACATACACACGAACATACGGACAGAACTCCAAAGCCCAGTTTTTCCGGCTTGATTACACATAAGACACCGAAAGTTTGATAAATGTGCATTTACTATTTTTGCCCGATTAAAATAAGTCCCCTATACTACGTATATGATGAAGTACTGAGGTGTAAAACTATAAAAGCTGTCAAAATTTCCTGTGATTTTCGTGCACGATTTCAATACTTCCTCTATACTCTGTATAAGAGAAAATAAATATATCTAAAACATTTTTTTTTTCCAATTTTCGACTAACCTCCCATATACAGAAGTGATACTTTACTACATTTCCGGTTTATAAAGTACCAATTAGTCAGACGAAAACTCATAAATGCATATACTATTCTATTCACTAGTTTATGTCAAACTGTGAATGAAAACTGTGATCAAAAGTAGTACTTGAATCGATTTCTGATTTGTCTAAACCAGGGGTCTCCAAACTTTTCAGCCCCAGGGCCGCATCAACTATCAAATATCAGTTCGGGGGCCGGTTTCTCCCCTCCCCCCGAAGAACGTCGACCCCCCACCCCACCCCCACCCTAACGAAATATAATTTATATATAAATATATATATATATTTATGCTCAGAACTTTTTCACAAGTTAGCTATCTTACTGCTGTGTAATAAGGTAAATCTTGCGATTTTGTGTTTGTTTGTTTTGTTTCTTTCGACATGGTTGCCTCTGTACTGTCTATGGTTTCTCCATCAATAGTCAGATAACAGGTTAGTCCAGTCCAAGTTATAATCAGCGTTTTTTTGTAAGTCATTGAATATATCCTTTCCGGTATCAGTGTCATGCATGTTATGTAAGGAAGCAAACTCTTGTGTTATATTCTTGTCTATTGAACACAAGCAGCTGAGAGGTACAGCGACTCATCCATTGCAATTGAAAAATGGCGAAACATGCTTGTATTTTTCGCTATTCAAGTCTCGATGTTAAATTAATGTAATAGATTGAAATAATTGTGAGGTCAAGGGAACTCACTCTTCTGTATTAGTTATATTTATAATATTGTTATCTTGAGTGATGCCCTTGTGTACTTCCTTCAGTCCTCTCTGTGTGTTACCATCCTGATGTAGTTAGACCCAATAAACGTGTTATATACAACCACAGGCTTCTGTCGTCAATCTATTATAACTGGCGACGAAGGATAAACATCTACTAGAAAGAGCACCTACTTACGCAAAAAAGAGGTTTGCTAGAGCTTATTAGCTAATTATTTCTAGAATTATGGCGCTGTATGGCCAAATAAAAGAATTTGATGCGAATGATGAAATCATTCAAGATTACCTAGAGAGGTTAAGCTTTTACCTAGAAGCTAACGACGTGACGATAGAAGCCAAAAAGAGAGCTGTTTTGTTAACAGTCATAGGGCCTCAACAATTTAGGCTACTAAAAGACTTATGCGCACCAGCCAGTCTAACTACCAAGAGCTTTAACGAGCTGAGCAAATTGCTAACAGACCACCATGCGCCTACCCCATCAAAGTTTCTATGTAGAGCTAGATTTGACGGTAGGACTCGTCAACCAAACGAGTCAATTTCAGAATATGTTGCTGCTTTACGTCATTTAAGTAGATTCTGTGAATTCGGAGACACGCTGTCTGACAGACTATGTGAAAAGTTTGTGACAGGTGTAAACAGCCCTGATGTTCAAAGAAAGTTGCTGCTCGAGTCAGATCTAACATTAGAAAAAGCAATACAACTCGCAACTTTATTCCAGCAGTCATCCGAGGCGGCGAGATCTCTAGCACCTTCAGAGATCCATGCAGTAAACAGCAGGTTAGTCAACAAACACCAACCCCATCAGAGCATTTCAACTTATGCTAAACAGCCTGCACGTTCAAATCCTAGATCTAAATCTAGTAATAATGATCAAAAATGTCATCGATGCAAAGGTCCCCATGCATCTCATCGGTGCAAGTTCAAGTTAGCAACTTGTTATAAGTGCAGTAAGCAAGGTCACATTGCCAAGGCCTGCTTTGCAAAGTCTTCGTCTGTTGCTAAATCTAGCCAGTCAAGACAGTACCGCAACCAAAGGCAGCACTATGTTAACTCTCACCAAGACTACCTAACTCAACCAATGAACCACTCTACCAGTGAAAATACTCAAACTGATTCGCAGCCGGATTTCAGCCTGTTCTCTGTGAAATCAATAAGTCATGCTCCCATCAGTGTACTAGTTTATATCAACGGTAAGAGCATCAGCTTCCAACTTGACACTGGAGCATCTCTAACAGTCATCACAAAGAAGGACTTTGACGCTGTCACAGGAGGATCAGTGCCTCTACAACCATGTCACATGTGTCTAACAACATACACTGGTGACAATGTTCCGGTAATAGGAGAGTGTATGGTTCATGTAAGTTATAATGGTCAAAGTGTTATACGTCCTCTTCTTGTGGTTGAAGGAAATGGACCACCATTACTAGGTAGGAACTGGTTAAGTGATCTTAAGTTAAATTGGAAGAGTATATGTTCATTGAACAATGCAAGAGAATCTAGTCTTACTTCAATAGATAAAGTTATATCTGAAAATGAAAGTGTTTTTAGTAATCCAGGATTACTAAATGATAGAACAGTGAAGATAAGCATTAAAGACACAAATCCAAGATACTGCAAAGCTAGAGTTCCACCTTATGCAATGAGGAATAAAATTGAAAATGAGCTAAGTAGATTGGAATCTAATGGCATCATAAAGAAGGTAGACTATTCCGATTGGGCAACGCCCATTGTGCCAGTGTTAAAGAAGGATGGTTCTGTAAGAATTTGTGGAGATTATAAAGCTACACTGAATAAGCAAATAGAGCTAAATAGGTACCCTATTCCTAACATTGAGGAAATTTCTTTGAATTTGGCAGGAGGAGACAAATTCACTGAATTAGACTTTAGTCATGCTTACACTCAACTAGAACTGCATCCAGATTCAAAAGTCTATACGACAATAAACACTCATAAAGGACTCTACCAATATGAAAGACTATGTTTTGGTATATCATCCAGCCCTGGAATTTTCCAAGCTGTCATGGACAGTATTTTTAAGGATATTCCAAATGTTTGTGTTTACTTTGACAATGTGTACATAACTGGTAAGAATGACACTGAACATCTTAAAACACTTGATAAAGTCTTGAAAATAGTTGGTGAAAAAGGTTTAAAGATAAACAAAGATAAATGTCAATTCATGCTGACAGAAATTAGTTTTCTTGGTTATATATTAAGCAAGCAAGGTATCAGACCTCAACCAGAGAAAACTAAAGCCATTAAAGAAGCACCCAAACCTGAAAATACCCAACAACTAAGAGCTTTTTTGGGCTTGATAAATTACTATGCAAAGTTCATAGGGAATCTGTCTGGTAAACTATCACCACTGTACAAGCTGCTACAGAAAAATGCAACTTGGCACTGGGGTAAACAACAAGATGCTGCTTTTAATGCAGCAAAAGAAGCTTTGTCTTCTGACACCTTACTAACTCACTATGACCCAG